GCTATAACATTAAAATAAAATGTGAAGATAGAAGAGACAAATAATGTAACTTTTATTTTGAGATGATCCCTGTATTTTTATGCTGGTTAAATCAAGCTACTGATTTCTCAATCTTCAACCTCCCCTGCAAAACCGCAGGAAAACCTGATTTCAATCAGAAGAGCTTTATGAAGAGCAAGTTGACTAAAATGCAAAGAAGGACAAGTGAAGTGTGCAACGATGTTCCTGTGAAATTACAAGTGGAAACAGGAAACAGATTTGATCAGATACCTGAATGTGGCTTAGGATTCCACAGCATGTCATTTATTTCCATAGGACAGGAATACACAGACCAAGTCATTTTAATATTCAAACACTGGATACTTTACATCAAAATTAAAATGTAAAGTAAAATATTAAATAATGCCCAATATTTTAAATCATCTGATAAGAATAGCTTTTCTCATTTTATATTTCTCATGAAATATATGAATTTATATTTCATGATGTCAAATCTATGTAAAGTCTCAAGTTAGCATTTAACAAATGGTAATATAAACCTATTATTAATATCTGTGGAATTTATCAGAAGTTAAAAAACAATGACAAAAAGCTGTAGCTCTCTGGTGTAGTGTGAACGGGGCACCTTGATGCATAATCCTTGGCAGATGGTAGATATTTAATAAATATTTCCTGAATAAAGGTATATAGTACATAGCATATAAAAAACAAATTAAGTATTTATAATGTCATCCTAGTTTCATACTACTTGTTGAAATTATAAAAAAAATAAAATCAGGACCCTCAATTTATAAAACATTTATCTCATTATTGCTAAGAGTTTCAGGTAAAAGTGTGAATTTCTCTTTCAGAGAGTTAAATCAAATTTGTTTCTAAATTGAATTTTGACTCCCACAGATGCCAAAGAAGTTGCCAAGAGACCTGGAGGAACTGCAGAGCCTAGAAGGGTGAGTCCGGTCCCAGGACAGCGGTCTCGGTGGAAGCCCGCCACAGGCACGGCTTTGTCTGCAGGTGGGGAGCATTACCAAAGGCAATTTCACTTTCCTGCATCACTTTGCTCTCCTTTTATCACTCCAAGCTTTTTCTGTCAAGTGGGTGTGTGACGGTAAACATTCATTTTAATCAAGAAAAGATTACACGTTACCACAAAAACCAGAGGGAAAGTTTCCTCTATATCCTTACTCAAATCTTGCCCTTCCACACAGAAAGAGAAGTCCCCCAAAGCGCACACACATACATACAGTCACTGGTTCTGTTTTCCCTGGAAAGCCCTAATACAGATGGAGTTTAAAATACAGAAATACAGCCATTTTTAAAGACGCTTTCAAAAGATTAGGAGGGATGATTCCAATAATTTTGAAAACATCTTGAATTAAAGGCATGGGACTTTACAATCCTTTTAAAAAACCCACACCTTAGCAAATATGTGAATTTTGTATGTAGTTGAATATTTTAAGAGATTAAGAAGTATTTTCTGGGAGATACCATCAAACATCCATTACTTCAAAATGGTAAATGTAAACATTTTAGTACCTGTAAACTAGGCTAAACCAATTATTAACTGCAACTTGAACCATTAAATTTACTGTCTCGGACACGGAATTTCTCGTGAGAACTGTTTTTATCAGTGTTCCACTGTATCATGGTGCTTTGCTAGAATGAAGCATATTTTCCTTATTTGGGTAACATTTCATGGAATCATCTGTGTTCCTGAGGAGGTTATTTACCCCTTCTCAATCTTACTTTACAAATTGGTAAAATGAAGATACTAACAGCAAAAACATAACAAAATATTTTGATAGCTACTAAATTAGATACTTAACTAGAGAATGGCTACAAGGATTGACATGAATATCATACAGAAAGCATCTTTCATGTAACTGGCAAAAGTAGGTGCCGTCATAATTATTATTTATTTTCCATATCGTTTAGTACTGACATTTGAATATTTCATACTGGTCCATTTAATGCACCCTAGAAATGGTTAATCTTTTGTTACACAAATTCAACACTTACAGACACAATTTGGTTTGGTTCATCCAAGTAAACCCTAGAGGAAACACAGTCTTAGCAGAATCTACTAGAGACATACCTTATACCTATGCCAGTTTCATTCATAAATGCCCTCTTTTGTACTACATAACAGCATCAGTCTCTAAAAAGCACCATATTAATTCTGGAATTTGTCAGTGCACATGATTTATAAAGTCACTCTTTCCACTGAATATCTTATGAAACAAAATAACTCTATGAAAAGATTTTTCTCATTTCAGTTACCAAGATGAGCTATACTCGATCTCATTCAATATTTAACTAGTAGTCTTTAACCTAAGTTCAGGGGAAAAATGTATTATAAGTCAAAAGCCTTAATTAGGTTCAAGCTCTGCCAATAACTTCATATGCCAGTGAAGTTACTTAATTTCTCTGGGCCTGAGCCTCCTCACATACAACAGCAGAGATTTTGATGTTTCATCAAAGTAAAAATCTCATTCAAAATCGATGACTCCTTGTAGGAATAGAACTTCTAGTTAAGATGGAACTTAGAGTAAAATTTCAAGACACCTGCTAACAACCCGATTTTCAATTAAAGGATGACAACAGGTGAGTGGTGGTAAAGCAGAGCATCAGGGAGGGAGGGAGGATGGATGGTGGATGCAGAGAGAGGTCAGAGATACATATACAGAGGGAGAGAGGGAGGGACGGAGGGACGGAGGGACAGAGGGACAGAGGGACAGAGGGACCTCGATTCTTACTTTCAGTAATAAGCAGATGTATTATTTTATCTACCTGGGTCCCAATTTTCTATTCTATAAAATGTAGATATCATCTCCTATAAGGCTAGTCTACAAACTAAATATACCAAAAGCAACAAGCATGACTCTTGGCAGCCATTTTTATAAATTTTAAATAAACCAAACCTCTATTTTTTTATTTTACACCAAAATAAAATTTCAGAATAAATTATAATTAAGGCAAATATTTAAAAGCCTATTAATGCCCGATGCAATGTATTTTTGGGCAGCCAATTAAATGCTACATGAAAGGGAGCAGCCAACGGGCCCTTGGAGCAGAGCTCCCCCGTGGACAGTGGCCACAGCTGGTGTCCTGCACGGAGAACTCCAGTGCCAGGGAGCAGCCAACGGGCCCTTGGAGCAGAGCTCCCCCGTGGACAGTGGCCACAGCTGGTGTCCTGCACGGAGAACTCCAGTGCCAGGGAGCAGCCAACGGGCCCTTGGAGCAGAGCTCCCCCGTGGACAGTGGCCACAGCTGGCGTCCTGCACGGAGAACTCCAGTGCCAGGGAGCAGCCAACGGGCCCTTGGAGCAGAGCTCCCCCGTGGACAGTGGCCACAGCTGGCGTCCTGCACGGAGAACTCCAGTGCCAGGGAGCAGCCAACGGGCCCTTGGAGCAGAGCTCCCCCGTGGACAGTGGCCACAGCTGGCGTCCTGCATGGAGAACTCCAGTGCCAGGGAGCAGCCAACGGGCCCTTGGAGAAGAGCTCCCCCGTGGAAAGCGGCCACGGCTGGCGTCCTGCATGGAGAACTCCAGTGCCAGGGCAATTGGATAAGACAAATGATCTATGCGAGCCATATGCGGTTTAAAAAATATATGTTTTGATGAAGCACCCTAGGCATGTGCACTACCATATTGAACAGTAGCAGGATTATTTATATTTAAACATGTGCTTTTGATTTTTTAATCGGGAAACACTTAGCTTCACTCAGCAATGTTTCATACAGGTTTCTACTTGCTAAGAATTGTCACGAGCTCTTCTAGGAGCTGTAAAATTTAAGCCCCTTTTCATTTATTTTATTGGTTTTCAATCTGTGTGCCACCTGCATCAGAATCATTCAGGGTTATTAAAAATGCAATTTCACGGGCCCCTCCCAGACTCTGAATCATATTATCATGGAAGTGTGCCCCAAGAACTTGGAATTTTAAACAAATTTCCAATGTGAATTTCATTTATAATCATTTCAAGAAGTGCTCACTTAGAGCACCAGTACAATACAGAGGGAGGAACACTCAGCAAACAGGCGGAAGACCCAATATATCTTTGCAATTCTGCATATTGTGATTCTATAAACATCGACAGGCCCTCTTTGACTAGTGGTGAGCACTTTACACCATGCCCACCAGGACTCTTCAGTTATGAATAATTAAGTTACTTCAAGAAGAAAAAACAAAATATTGCAGGTAAAACAAAACATGTGCCTGCTAAATATGACTCCATTTTCTCTCTACAAAGACAGACTGAGTGAACTCTAAGGTCACTTTCTTTACTAATAGTGGCTCGAGCAGATGAATATTGTTAACTTATTAATATTCAATGACTTTCTCTGACTGAAACAATTCAAATTACTGATAGCCAAAAGTGGCTCAGATTTTGTCCCAAAAACATTCATCTCAAAGTTCACATATTTAGGCATGCTGAGTACAGTTCAGTGCACTTGGAGTGAAAACAGAAACCCATAATTATTGACCATTGCTATATTGTGCCACACGATTGGAAGAAAGAGAGGAAGAATGAAAGGAGGGAGATTCATGCCTTCAGTTAGAAGCTGAAAGCATTTCACTTTAAATCAAGCATCCATTCCTTCTTCTAAAAGATGTACTTCATACCTACTGTAAGCTATGTACACTCCTAGGTGTTTGCAATACAATAACAGACATGGGACTATTCTCTCGAGGTATAAAGTGTATTGATAATCTTTAGGCATTCCAGGCTCAATTGGAAAGGCTGGCTGGCTGCTCATAAAAGGCCACATTTTACTTTTTTTCTTAACAAATATACTATAGGTACCTAAATATTATATAGGTATGTGTATATATATATATACACACACACATATATGGATGAGTGCATATACATATATGTGTGTGTAAGAAAAATAGAGGATGGTAGCCTGTGTTGTGCTAGGCTACCAGAATTTTCACAATCTGCATAACAAAGCCTTGGTAGGCTTCTGGGAGGAGCCTTTTAAAAGTGAGCATGCTCACCCGGCTGCATTTTTGCTCCTGCCATTCTTCCTGCCCAGAATACAGCTGAGATACAGAGCTGGAACACCACAGGGTGACGATCTGGAGACATACTAGCCATGTCTGTGCAGAAAGACAAAGGGGTACAGACGGATCACCTTTAGATTTGCCATCATTTATGGCAAATTACTATAGGCTTGTTGAGATGCAAATTTATAAAACAACCAAGAACTTTGTAAACCATATACTAGCAAGTGCAGTTATACAAGTACACAAAAGAAATCCAGGAATTCTAGATCAATGATACTAGGGATCTTCAAAATACAGAGGCATTCCTTAGCTTTCTATGTTTCCTAAGAAATGTGTGAGATTGATTTCCACAAATATAAAGTGGTTTGAGATCTTTTATGAGCCAAATGCTTCAACTCACTTGGATTCAGAATTCACAATGCAGACTAAAATATACTTTCAAAAATAAAATACTCTGCCTGACTTAGCACTAAAAATATAAGAAAGTGGTTTTCAGATCTATATACACTACACATTTTATGTTGTTTCCCTTAATAAGTGAAAATAATTGCATATTGATAGACTCTGATGATCTTCAATCAAGTAGATTATCCCTTATAGTTTAAGTGTTCATTATTTTATTACAGAATTTATCCGTGACACTAGCAGCAAGCCCATCTCAAAATTTAAGATTCAAAGAGAACAGTTAGTTATGCTCTGCTGAAGTCTCAGAAAGGAGACAGGATGCCTCAGATTAGTGACGTCCAAAAGCAGAAGTTATATAATCTAACCACACTTATAGGAGAGATAAGTTTGAAAACTAAAATTAAAGTTACACTATTCAACACTCATCAAATCTAAATTATCATCATGCATATTAACTTTTCAGTAAAACCTTCAGCATATTCTAAATGAATATTCAATATGTAAATGTTATTTCCTTGATATGTTAAAATTGGACATACACTCCCTATGCCCAGAGCACCTGATGCTTTAAAGTACATGTGTGTAATAGGGCAAGATACATCTGCTGAAATGTGACAGTATGGACACTGAACTTGGCCTACGAGCCATAGCAATCTCATTTCTAGGCTTAGTTCTTTCTTAGCTAATGTTGAGCAAATCACTTCACTCTGAGAGTTTTAAGGTAGAAACTTTGTACCATTCCTTCCACTGTTGAAACTCTAGCAGTTTAGTGGAACATCTTCCTTACTGAGTATGCATTAGAAGGCAGGAGGACCTATTTGCTGTTGACAACAACCTGACAAGCAGACTTACATATTTTTAAGTCCCTGGAAGATAACCCATTCTAGTATTTATGTATTATAATATTTATTGCCTTGGAGAAATTTATTCTGTAACTCCAGGCCCTACATCACATGCCAGGTCAATAGTTCTGTGTAGATGTGTTGTTAACCAGCCCACAGTTGTGTAAGGCCTAATCCCTAAGATAAACCGCTTGTTTTATATCATTCACACAGCAATACATCCCTGACCAAACCTTAATAGAGCTCATAATTGATACTTTACCCTGCCAAATATTAAGGAGTTAGACACACCACAGTAGTTTTTTTTTACTAAGTCAAGTTAATTCTAATTGCAAAGCCCCATGTTGGTGAAAATGTAATCCCAACCATGTTTGAGCACTAAATCCACTCTGTATCTGGGGAAAGGAAACAATGTGGCTCAGAAATTGGAAGAAGACCTTCAAGTCTCCAGCATATCATGATCTCTGTGCAAGATGCCTACCGACCCGTCCAGGCTGGCATGTTCAATGCAGACTTTCAGGCATGGCTCCCAGGGCTATAGCTGCTAAGACCAAATGTTCTCAAGAGTTCAAGGTCAGTTCTCCCAAAACAATGACCGACCAATGGCTCTCACAGAATGCACCGGAAGCAGAGCCCAAGTACCTTTCACTTCCAGCAGCCCTCTCACAACCAATCATCTTTTTCATTTAAAGCAAAGCCCCAGTTTTGGCTATCTCTGCCTGTACCCTTAGTGTGGAGGTTACTTGAGCTCTCCAGCCCTCCAACAATAATATGTAACTTTTCCCTGAGACAAACTCCTCTTAATACTGCCTTTGGAACAAAAACTGTGCTGCCTCTCCAAAGCCCTTGTTAGTACTGTGAAAACAGCAGTCTAGAAAGCTACTATTTAGGGCCATTCTACAACACGGAACAAGTCTAAATCTCAGTGTGTTATCCTGGTCAAATAGGTAAGTAGTTGAGTAGTTATGTGGTTTTCGTTTTTCAGGAATCTTAGTTTCCCTTCTGCTTCCCTGCATTTATTTTACTGGGAAGGGATAAAGCTCTGTTCTTAGTTCTGTCTTTAAACTGGTATCATTTGCTTCCAACTCTGCTTGAGTGGTATTGGAAGAAATATTCACCTGTTTTCCTAGAAAAACTGCAGAAGTCATACAAACACACGAACATGCACAAATATAATGTTCTTAAAGCACAAAGTATCTTCCTTGGGACAACAGAAAACAGTAAAAACATGTAACAGAATAAATTTTGTCACATACACAGAACATTTTATCTTAACAACTAGCTATTGTAGGAAAAGTCACAGGGGCAAGCTGGGCACAGTAGGTATGGCTTAAATTGGGTTTTACTTTATAAGAAGAAGAAATATGTACACATTATGCTTGGTATATTCAAACATAGCTACACATTCTAAATCCTACAACTTCTTTTACTCCTGGATTGCTACAATTAATATCAGAGAGCAACTACTCATAAAAATTCATACTTAAGTTGCTGCAATTAAGAGTATAAAAAGTAAATCACTTAAATATTTCAACAAAGGCACAATATTCTACATAGCCACATGTGATGGTGACAAAACAGTCAAATTAATAATAAATAAATAACTTTCAGTGCATACTTACAAATGTTAAGATACATCTAAATATAAACTGTATTTCAATCTATGCCTATGACTTTAACTACAAATTTCAGCTCTTCTTGGTTGTACAGATCTTTAAACTATTGGATTCAGAAACCCAACATTTAAAATGTATTTTTAAAATAACAATGCCCACTCTTTTTATGTAATAAATATGCAGCTATATTCACATTACTCTGAGCTTTTCATTATCTACTCACTACTCTATCATTAACAAGGCAAATCAAACCAAACAGCAAACAATAAACATGCCACACTCAACTTCCTGAATTTCCCTGGTTCTCTAAGCATCTGCCTTACATCAGAGAAAATGTCCTTCCTTGCACCTACCAAGCATGTGTTATGCCTGGCACCGTACCTGTAACACTAGCCTAAAACTAGATAAAAAAGAGAGTATTGATGGGAGCAATCTTTCTTTTTCTACAATAATTGGGTTTCATAGTAATAACAAAGCTCAGTAAATTACATATGCCCAATGAAATGCATTATCCTTATGTGTGGAGGGTGTAGGAAAGTCCCAAAGTAAGTTAAAACCAAAAAGAAGTAAAGTGAGTTATTTTGTCCTGCTGTTACCACAAGCATAACACACATCCTTTGGGGGCTGATTATCTAGAGGTGGATACAGATTACAGCTTTTGAGAAGAAATGAAGCAAAAACACATGAGAGAGACCCGAGCTAGCTCTCTCCTTTAACCCCATCTGCTCTCGTACACCAGGTGTGGGATGGAAGAATAAAAGAAGAATCCCTTCTGACAGAACTAATTATTTTCAGACCATCCAGATACAACATATAAACAGTACAGCAGCAAAATGCTCAAAATAAGAAATGGCTTAGCTATTCTCTCTCATAATCAGTGTACATAATTGACTTAAAAGAACCAACTTATTTTCATCAAAAGAAAAAGAAACGAATTTACTTCAGTTGATTATTGGCTTTTTTCTAATAACACCATCATACTTTGCATATCTGTAAAAGTACAGTTTTAAAGAACACTCCCTAAAAAATAATAGACTTAGAATATCTGCTTCTCTAAATTTTGGCAATAATTCCAGCTCTCCAATTCTTATTAAAAGTGGGAATCATAATGGCATGTTTAAGTTGGTAGTCATCCCATGCTCTTTAAGTGACCCAATATCCAAAATTTAAATTTAAATACCCTAATGTTCATGCTGGTTATATTCAAGGACAAACTGCAAATACAGGATTTGATAATATCTTATGATTAGGCCTTTATTACTAGTATGACTTTGTTTTGGGAATGATGCGACAGGCCTTGTCATCATTCACAAAACTGGTCAACGTAGTCAAACTATTAGTTTAATTCAAAGGCAGGAAAAATAATGAATCTCTTTTTGGGAAAAAAGATACTTTCATTTATTTTGATTTATGCTGCTCATTATTTCAGAGAAGATTTCAGATAGAATACAAAAGTATATAAGCTATGATAGATAGTTTAAACTAAAAGTGTCATTAATGTGAAAAACAAGGTCAAAATGCAAAGTCAGGGCTGTGGATATAAATCGTATACACCTAACACAAACATGCACCTGTTTGATGTCTAGGTTACTTGGCAGCCAATGGAGAAATCCCTAAGATAGACGTAGATGGACAATTTCCATCTCTATTACACTGAACTATGTCCAGGAGGGTTGAGGGCTGAGTGGGGCATAGACGCAATGTGGTATGTTTTCTCAAGGTCGGTAGTAGAGTTTCGAACATAGTCATGTGATAAGAGAGTTCAAGGGGGGTCAAAGGTGACCAAGTGGCCATGGGTTTACTCTTCTACTTTACAGAGGACAAGAAGAAATATTATGTCCAAATAAGGAATGAGGACCATTAAAATTAGTTTTTTGATAATGGAACTCATTCTGGAAGGAGAGTGGTACCTCCCTTAGTTAACTTTTTCTAAATAATAAACTCAAAAGTTAAAGTCACTGTCCCCGTCATCTAAAAGTACAGATTTGAATCCACTTAGGTTTCAGCACCATTCATTCCCCAGTATTATATCCTGTGCCTTTCTAAAAACATAGGATAAAGATCAAAGCAGGCCTTCTCTATCCTTACATACCTCCTGCAGTACTTTTCTGAATTATTTGGTTAATACCTCATAGTTTTTAAAAGACAACACTCGTGAAAGGGGGATGCTGATGGCCATGATCAGTCAGCTTCTCTGTCACCATGATTGGAGAAGGAAGCTGAGAGCAGT